CAACAAAGCATGGGATATGTGAAGAGCACTGAATCAATACATAGTTCCATATGACATAGCATTTCATTTGAAGGACTTTTTTTTTTTGCACTTGCCAATTCACATGCAATTTACACATCAGTATGGCTTCTAACAGTGCCATAGACTGCCAGCACCACATGTCAAAATGCCAGTGAACTACATTAGAAGAAATGTTGAGCTATACAGAACTTGCCAAGGTTAGAGATGATAAACTATTTGTGAACAGATAGCTGTATTTACAGTGGTCATGCCATGTAGACCAGTAATTTGAACATAGCCTTACGTGCACAATCTATAAACAAGGTGGCATCAGACTTTTCAACTAGGTAAGCAAATTGCGAATTATAGGCGTCTAATAAAAAAATCCTGCTTTTGGTTAATTGACACAATCCATTCTTCAGGAAAGACTCTCCTTGTGCAGCCTCTAGCTCTCATGTGCAGTTAGATTACTCATCAGTGCTTACTTCTGTTGTCTTGGGGCTTCTTTTTAAGCCTTCGTATGCTGCTGAACTGTAAATAGAGTACTATTATTATTATTAGAGATTTAATGTTTGATCTTTCTGATTGTAAAAAAAGAATTTTTCATTTTGCAGTTAAATCTTATGGATGTCAATAAGAATCTAGCAGGTAACAACTGTGTGTGTGTATGTGTGTGACCTGTGCAGAGCAAATATTCCCTGGCTTCATTAGAGCTATTGCCTGCTTATCTGTGTAGTGAATACAGCAAAGCACTGTACTTACTTCCCTTTTTAGCGAGTATTGCAATTATACCTAAAATGTAGTGGAACAAAAAGTTATTCTGTGATACAGGTACTTTTGGTGAAGTTTGAAGAGGAAACAGATCTTTACCCAATAATTCTTACAGCCGTTCAGAAGGCTTGCAGTATGTTTGTGTTTATGTACTTCTAAGTGTAATGTACATTTAATACTTGAGGCATACTTGGTGTGGTGGGTACTTTTTTTTTTTCCAGGAGCTAGTCATGCATCAGTATTCAGTTACGTGTGAAGCATTCATTTCTTGCCAAGCCCAGACTGAGAATTTCTTCAGGAGCACTGTTGCAAGTCTATAACAAAATGAGAACTTCAACCAGATGTGGAGATTTTGCAACCTTAATTTTATAACATCTTTGAAAGCAAAGTTAAATATCATGTAGGAGAGTTGGTGATAAACTGGATTATTCCAGTACTTTTATATAAAGTACAGGTTGCTATTTGCATACAACATGATGCATTTCTTATTTGTTCTGGATGAACATGATCTATAAATTCTGCTTACCTGCAGATATGCTGCATAGTTTTAGAAATACATGTTGATTCATGGATAGGCTACACAGATTGGGAGTGGGAAGCACTGTTTGGCAGTGATACCTATTGATCCAGCATTATTATTAGACACTCAAGCAGCCTCTGTAATTTGAAGCATATTTTATGAACTTTGGTTGATGCACCAATTGCAACTGTACTTAAGTAGAGATAGCTTAGCCACAGCTACCCTTCTGGGAACTTCCTGTTGAAACTAAAACAATGTCATTTATGTGAGGTAGCCTTTAAAATTTGGGTCTTAAATTGAGCTGCAAGATATTAATTGGGATTGAGTCCTTCAACCATCTTAAGGCTGTTGTAGCAGCTCCACTGGATGCCACTCTCTTTCAAAGCCCAACTGAAACTTTTAAAACACTTAATGGCATTAACTGAGAAATTACATTTTTCAAAATAAGCTTACCTAGTCCTTAAAACCCTTGTGAGGCTCAGAATGTGTCTACCTGTTGAAATGAGGGAGGTAGCTATGAGGGAGAGGGCTTTCTTGGCCAAGAAGCAACTTCCACAGGAATTTTTGTTAGTGCCATCTTTATGATTTTTTTTATACCAGCTGAAGACTGTTTATTCACCCAGTTTTTTAAACTTTTGTTTTTTTTTACAATCTGGTTTCTTAATTTATGATTCATGTTTTCATTGTAATCTGCAATGGTAATTGCTTTGCTTCTTTCTCTCCTGGAAAGAACTTGTATTTTAATACTGTGTTTTATTTTATTAAAATTTTGTAAGTCTTCAAACAACATACATAATTGAGTGGCCAAACAAATATAGCAAAACATGCAAACCAAAACATGAAGAGAAAATTGTGAAGATCAATTTGAAATTACACTGAATTGATTTCCTTTTTGTACACAATGTTGCTAGGTAATTCTGACATTTGTTGATGTGATTTTGTGAAGAAAAAGGAATGTGAGGAAGAATAAGGGAAACTCCTGTATTATTATAAAAGTCATTGTCATGTGATTGTACTTAAAAGTAGATCAGTTTAAATCAAAGCACAATAATTTACATCATTAAGAAAATTCAAATCAAGATTTCCAACTTCCACTTCAGATATTTGTTTCCAAATTTACATATGTATTTACAAATACTTTTAATTATTACTGCCACTGCTAAACGTTTGGTTTACAAGTAAACAGAGCCTTATCAGTTTGTATGCCTATCAACTTATTAGAAGGTCTATATATTCATATTTTGTAAATCCATAACTTTCTTAGTAAATGTTGCATAGTTTATTGCATATATTTTCTAAATAAACTATTTGCTTATGATTTCTGACAAGTTCTGTTCAGATTATTAACTAGAAGTTAATTATGCATGCAAAAAGTATACCGTATTTTGTCTCACTTTACATACAAGAATAGTGTGCAGAAGATTCAATATCAGAATTGTCCAGAAAGAAAGGCTAATAGTTATTTGTGGGTGAGAACTTCAGGCAGTTATAAATGCCCTTAACTTGAAAACAAGAGCTTAGGTGACAGAGGGCATAAAAGGGGAATGTAGATGATAAAGCATGGACTCTTGAGTTAGTGACTGGAACACAGAACTTGTAATGAGTAAATTACCCCATTATCAAATTCATAAGAATATAATGCTTTATCTGTTCTGCTGTATTTATAATATTTGATATTATAAAGCTTGGCAGAAAAAGGATTTTTATACTGAATAATGAATAATGTAGATCTTTATCAATGATGGATTCAGTTTTAAGAAAGTATGTGGATGCAGGCCTTGCTTTAACATGTTTTTGCTAAGTTTGTGGAGCATTTAAAGAAGGCCATTTTTTAAAAGGCAAGTCTACTGTAAGTGAAATGTCTTTTAAAAACAATGTAAAGAGATCTTGTAGCACCTTTGATACTAACTGGAAAAAAAAGCGGGCAGCATGAATTTTCATAGACTAAAGTACTTCAGATGATTTGTTAGACTGGGAAGGGACAGACTTATATTAGTCATTTCTGTGTGAGAATGTCAATTCAAAATCCTGTGTATGGAAATGAAGTGGCAAGTCCAGTTTTAACTATGGTCATTGGTGGACAAAGGCAGTAAGGAAACTGTAGCCTGCAGCTAAGGAGAATGGATGAGTGTGGGAACCGAGAGAGACATGATGAACTGGACAAGGGCAGCTTCACGAAGATGGTGGTTAGTGTTGAAATGTGTGTAGTGTGCCAGGAAATGGTTATATCTGTTCAACCCATTGCTGATGAACTCTAGTCTGTACATAAATTCCGATTCTACTTTTTCTTTTTCCAATCTTCCTTTGTAAATCTTTTGTTCAAGGACCGCAGTCCAGACTACAATCTGTTTAGTTGGCTATAAAACCCATTGAACCTGGTAAGGACTACAGTAAAGACACCTGGAATTATACAAATGTCAACACTCTCTTTCAGTCGAAGGCTTTGAATTGAATTGTGGAATACTTAACAGAGACAAAACCAGATGCAGTTTAAAATGTTGCAACTGGGCCCAAGGCCCACAATCTAAAAACAGATGTGAAATGATATACCGTATGTTGTTTTCCCGTTAAGACTATTGTTCTCTCTTTAATCAAACATTTCCCATTTTGTTGCCCACCCTGTTCCAGACCACCCTGATAACTTCCTTCGAAATTTCTCAGGGGATTTCCCAATGGAAAGCCAAATTCCTTTGAAAGGCAGTTTTCCCATCTCTACTGATCTCCCCCACAGTGATTATAATCCATCTGTATGCATTCTAGAGCAGATGGTTTCAAATTGGCCCACAGATTCTGTCCAGGAGGTACATGGAAAATTTTGGAAAAGTCCAAAATATTCTTAGTTGGATTTAAACATTTTTGTCCAGGGCCAGATTATCAATTGGGTCAAGAAGACCCTTGCCTAAGACCATTGGTTTTCATAATATGGTGTTGGTTTTATTGATGTTAATAGCATCAGAGGGGAGGGGGATTTTATTTCAGATTGAATAATGTATTTATTTCATTTTGTTGAATAGACGTATTTGTGATCTGCTGAGGACCCCAGAAATTCATGAGGGACTGCTGTTTTAGGATAAAGTCCTTGGATAATGCTGATGATCAACAGGGTCAACAGATGAAGTGGAAGTAGGGCATGCAGTTAAAGTACAGTCTTCTGCAGTAGTATGCATAGGGGTTCCTCAGTAGCTAAGATGATATGAAACAGGCTTCCTGCAGGTGGAATTTTGGTAAACATTTCTATCTTTCATCTTTACACCCATCTGTAACCTCAAATTTGTTTCCTTTCATAATACTTATCCTATATCCATGCTCTTTTATCTTGAAGTCTGGTATGTGTAACAACACTAAAAGAAATAGGTTAGCTACAGTAACAGAACCATGAGGAAAGATACTAAAACAGGGTGTAACTTTCCCTATTGGCTTTGTTCTTGCCTGTGAAAACAAGCTGTTTTTCTCACCATGGAGGCCCTCTACCACAAATCAGCTTGTTACACATACAAAAATAACTCTGAATTGTTCATCATCACTAAAAGTAGTCATCCATGGTTCCCTGTATCATAACTTAATGGCCGTTTTGGACTCAGTGTTTGAAGGCCACATTAAGGAGCTGTTTTTAATTTGGACTATGCTATGTAGTCCTCTGCATATTTTTAGAGACTGCAGTTATTGAGACACCAGAATGAAAGCCGTACGTGCTATCCAAGGACTGAGAGCCAATGTGGCATATTGGTTTCAGTGCTGGACTGCGACTTTGGACACCGGGGTTCAATTCCCAGCTTGGCCATGAAACCCACTGGATGACCTTGGGCAATTCACATACTCTCAGCCTCTAGGGAAGGCAGTGGCAAACCTCCTCTGAACAAACCTTGCCAAGCATACCCCATGATAAGTTCACTTTAGGGTCACCATTAGTTGGAAACGACCTGAAGGCACACAACAACAACTAACAACAACTTTGGAAAAAATGAGTAGTGTCTGCAATGCCTCTGTCTATCTGAAGGCTTATATTGCAGAAAGAAGTGATGTGTTAAAACTGTTCCTGTACTGCTTGTGGATGGAAGACATTATATGAGATGAATTCTGTAGTTTAGCATTTGTTTGGCTTTCAATGAGGAATGATATTTTTCTACATGGAGATTTATTAGCAGAATAAGGCTTGGAATTTCATGGCTGAGATTGTACAGTGGAACAGTTTCACTAACTCGTGTGTGTGAATTATACCTAGGTTTGAAGTCTTTTGAAAAGGGCATTTTCCTACCACATTTTAACATAATACACATTTTCAAATTATACACCCTCTATATATATTCATATTTTGGATAGATAATGAAATTCAGCCTTAATTCAGGTTGAAAAGCCAAATTTGTGACTCCCAAGATGTTAATACTCTGCATATAAAACTTTCTGCTAAATTTTTCACAAATATTGCCATCATCAGGGAAAATCTAAACAATGTGTCAGATTCAGACTTCATAATGCTTGGAGTAGACCCATTACAATCAGTGGGAAAGTTTGGCTGTAAGGGTGAAGGGAAATGGATAGTAGGGCTTGTCTATAAACTGTTCCTACATATTTTTCTCAATTTAATATGACTTGATTGTGTATCCCTGATCTTTAATGCATACCGTAACTAGAAACCACTGCAGCACCTTAGGTTATTTACAATTATGTTTTGATAAAGAAACAATAAGTTTACACCACTTCATTTTAGAAAATAAGAAAACATGCAAGCTGGCAATCTCATGATAATTCTGCATTTCTTCCTCAGCAGCTGGTTATTATCAGACCATGTTATGTTCTTGAGACCTGCCTAATTTTAAGATTTTCTTCCACTTTTAGTTTTTTGTTTTTGTTTTTTAAAAAAAGGGGGGGAACCATGCCAGGTTATGACTCCACTAAATTGTGTCTACATTCAGAACACAATATTGTTAAACAGTGTGTGAGTTTCACAGATTTGGGATGTCGTTGAATGTTTACTAGAATGTTTACTAGAATGTATACAGGATACTCATTTAGCATTGTTAAATGCTTAAAGTGCACACAGCTATGAAAGATTTCTTAGGGAGGGGTGTATTCAGATGTTTTTAGTGCAACTGCGAATAATCTCACACATTCCAGTTTTGTTGTTCACACTTTTTTTTATCAGAACTGCATCTCTGCACATCTCTGCGTGTTCTGTTGCTCATGCATGTCAGAACTGTGAATAAAGATGGAGTCAATGCAGATATGTTCAAAATATGTTCAAAGCATACAGAGTTTTATGTGAATTTATCCTGGGTCTGTTCACACAGTGGACAATGCAAATCTTTTAGGAAAACTCGGGGGGAAACGAAGTCAATTATCCCAGGTTAAGTGGGTTTTTTGGCAGTCCCTCCCCCATTCAAACAGCATGTAAACAACAAAGATTCAGCCCACCTTCTACCGGGATTATTTACCAATTCCAAGGTGTGGGGGAAGCCCTGAGCAAAAAGTCCTTCACCAACTTCCTCCCTCTGTGGATTCATCCCTGTCCATTCACATTTCCCTTCCTACTAGGCCCAATGGAACGGAAAGGAAAGGAAGAGGATGTAGGCACTGCTCTTTTCCTTTTCTCCTGTCACAGTTCACAAGTTTGGAAGAAAGTGTCCAGGCAGTGACATCAAGTCACAGGCCAGTTGTCAATGAGTATACTCTCTTTTGGGTTATGGGCCTCGACTGATATCTTAATAAGCCTGGCCCCAATGCCAAACTTGGTTTGGCACTATTGCAAATGAAATCTTTTCCAGTTTAGACCAACTGGATCTGCAGTCATTCATACATCCTTCCAAAGAGCTGCTGTGAAACCTAAAAATAGTACAAGTGAGGACACACAATCACAAGATCAGGCTGCTAGAAGTACTCAAGTTGCCCTCCGGCTATGCTTCCAATGTGACATTCTTAGAAAGGAAATAGCAGATATTGTCAATATTATTTAAAATCTCTTTCCTAGTGAGCCCTAGAATAGAGTTTCCCTTTATTCCAGCTGCCTCTCTACCCCAATACAAACACACTGTCTCAGACAAGGTTTTGGCATCTCTCCTTGATAACCTTTACCAGGAGATACGCTTTGGATTACATTGCAGATTGTGCACTGCTGTCCTATGTCCCCCCCCATCTGTCCCTGAAGTGACATTTCTGGTTGCAGTTTTTCAAGTTCTATGTATGGCATTGGAATTTGCTTTGGGAGGTGGAGGTGAAGTTAGTTATTCAGTGAATAATTTATGCAAATGAGTTCCATTGCTGAACTGTTTAAAAGTCAAAATTCCCTCACCCTTCCAAAAGCAAAATCAACACCACCATGGAAACCTTAACCTGATTGCCACCACTGAGCCATTAGAATAGCAATATGACTTCAGGTTGCTAGGTCTCCATTATTGTTAGGGATATCTCATATTGTTGAGCTAGAATGCGTGTCCCTTACAAACAATAAACAAGACACCAAAAATCCTGTATTTTCAGACATTGGTCAAACATGCTGCCCTCATTACACATCAAATATTGGGAAAGTGTTTGTGATCTTGGCTGGTGGCAGGTCTTTCCACACCAGATTGAACAGCACACTCAGCCTTATGGCAGTAAAATCCCCACCTCACCCTGGAGGTGTCTGATGCCTTGGCATCATGTGTTTTCCAGGGGCTTGCTCATTCTTATGAGATTTGAGATCTCGTAGGTCTTCTTGAGAGGCTGTCCATTCACAAGACATGAGGTAAGCCTTGTATAGGCCTGCCTCACATCCCAGCCAGTTTTAACTGTCCATTATTGCTGTTGGAAAGCCTGGCAACTCTAAATTCAGCTATTAAGCAATCTGGCAACAGTTCTTGTGAACAATCATTGCTCTAAGATATAAAATAATACATAACTGACTTCTCCCAGTTGTGTGGCATGCACATCCATACTCTCCAACTGTCCTGATTTGGCAGGGACAATCCCAATTAATCATCTTTTGTCCCAGTTTCTCTCTCCTCCCACTTTCCCCCTTTGTCCTTGGTTTATTTCCATTGCTGCAAACTGAGTTCAAAGTGCAGAAGTAGTTTTCACTCAACTGACTCATAAGAGTGGAGAGGAGAGGGCAGAATCTTACCCTTCTCAGTCGGCTCAGGCAACAGCAAACTGTTGTAGCCTCTCCTAACTTGTGTGTTCTTATTAATATTTTTGCCATCTTGACCACACTCTGATGTTGCCTGACCATGTGTCATGGTTTTCATGTATGAAATGTTGAGGGTATGTCTTTGCTTAATGCCAAAAGAGTTAATGGAGCTTGTCACAAAGTATGTTCATGGCTTGTGGGAAGTCATCACTGAAGTTAAGGCTGCATCCCCAAAAGCAAACTCTATGGACGTTATCACATGGAGGAAATCTATAGGT